ACTGAAGTAAGGTTACAAAAGACCTCAGCACCTGTGTGTCACAGCCTGTAGTGACCCAGCCCAGCTGCTTCATGTGTGCTAGCATAGCATACTAGCCTTACAGCGAACGGATAGCACTCTATACTAAAGTCCAACCTACCCATTACCTGGCTGCAGGCACTGGGGCTTAACAGCACACTGTTACCATGAAAACCATGACACACACAAACACACAACTCTGATTATGGCGACCTCTACCTTTTTGTTGCGGATGTCTTGCTGCTATGGTAACCATCTGCTATTTTATCACGTTAACATTCCTACTGGAGGTGCGAATGCAAACAGAAAAGAGAAGCAGAACTCAGCAAAGCTCACTACATATAGTCGTATTCTAAACAAATATTAAAAATATAAAATTCCCTGCAGCCTTGCTTTACCAGGGGTTCATTTATGCCTATAACCATGTTCACAACCAAGCACTGAGACGTACTTAAATATATATCACTTTGATTTTTTTCAGTAAATGGCAAAAGTTTTAAACCTTAACTGTGCTCCACTGAAGTGATGATGAACAGAACAGTAATATAAGTAACAGCGTGCTATATTTAAATGGTTCAAACCTGCGTGAGTTTTTTTTTTCAATGGCTCATCAAAGATGACTTTAGAACATTTATCACAGCTATGATTAAACCATGTAAATACTAAGTGGACATTTATGGACAAACTATTCTTTTACAAAGACTGATAAATAAACTTTTTGTCATACTTGGTAGCAAAGCTCTTTAAGGCTGTCTTGGAGTTGGGCGTAGAGGTCTTGAGTTGGGCGGTGGCCTTGGTCCTTGGTGCTGGCTGAGGGGTCTTAGGCTGTCTGATTGCAGAAGCAGACGCCCCCTGGCTGGCTCTGGAGGGCAGGCTGCTGGAGCGAGGGCGGATCTGCAACACTGAATGAAGAGAAAAACGAGTCAAGTAAACACAATTAGCAGCTCAGTCACCGACAGTGTGTCAGAACTTAAATCAGCTTATGTGGCAGCAAACAAGCTATAACAGATTACACCTACCTTGTGGAAAGCACATGCAGTCAGTGTCAAATAAAATAAAATTCAACTTTACCCACATGCAATGAAAAATTCTGATTGTAAAAGGAGCAGCAAATCTAACAGTAGCTCAAACAGCAATATAACTGACAAAAGCACAGTGTATTATTTCTTGTTGGTTAAGAAGATGATCTCATGCACTAAGAGGCTTTTGGATGATTAAGAACTGGAAAGCACCTTGAACAGGGTGTCTGGATCTAGGCTGAGAGTATGCAGCAGGATTGCTGGTGCTTTGAGCACCCAGCTTCTGCTCCACAATGCTCTTTATCTCTTCCCGGTGGTTCCAGTAGCCAGACATCGACTTTGCAACACTCTCCCGCTTTGAATCCAGCTTGGACAGAATCGCAGTGAGCTCCTTGTTCTTTAGACCGCTCTGATCCTTTTAGAAGAGGTAGAGGGAATAACATTAGCATTACAGATTAGCATAATGGTACATATTCTTCCTTGTATTGCTGATTAGGAATATGCAACATACAGGCTTGACCCCCAAGTTCTCCAGCTTCTTGATCAGAGCCTGTTCAAGCTCTGCTTGTATCTCTCTCTTTATGTTGGAGTTCCTTTTCAAAGCGCTCGTGTTCACCCTTGGCTTCTTCTCTGGAGCCGGCTCAGGCTTCTTCTCCACCACCTTTCTGTCTGACTGGCTGCTCGAGTCTGTAAAGGACATCTCAGTGAGTCAGTCGAGCTGTTCAGGACATTCATGGTCCAATTACAGACAGCAAAGGGGAAATAGGAGAATACAATGAATTGCATGCATTTGGCAGTTTTCACAGGAAGCTCCAAACCACAGGTGGAGTTGGGTAGATGTGACTGCAGAGGAAGAGAATGTCTCTAAGTTTATTTGTCAACAACAAGGCAACAAGATGATGAATGGACATGATGATGACAGCATCACAGAATATACACAGGCCAAGAGGTGGCTTTCCAAAATGCTTTAGTGTACTAAGGTCATCTTAACGTCCTTTGTGTCAGTACAGAATAAGATGATCTAAGTCCGAATGCACTCATGGAAAACGGTCACTCAGAGGAGACTGATTTATCCATGCAGCAGCAGCATGCAATCAGCTGGATCTGCTGGTTTTAATGTCTTTAGTGTATTTTACCTTTCTCCTCTTCTGACACCTCCTGAATAGGATCCAGCTTAAGAACAGAGACTGGCTCCTCTAATTGGACAGCAGGTCCAGGTAAGTCAGAAGGTCAGATAAAATGAATACTGAGTATGAGCAGTAGAAAAACAACACAAAACGCTAAATCTTTTGTGCACAAAAGCACATGCACAGCCTCACTGGGAGCGACAAATGTTGCTTCTGATGGCCCGCTTCTATTAACTTACCGACTACAACTCTTCTTTGTTTAGGCTCCCAAGCCGGAGGACTGACAGTGACTGAAAAACAGAAACAAAGATGAAAAGTGTGGCATTAAGATCAGAAATGGTATTTCCTTGTTATAGCATTACAGTATAAACTATATATAGACTATATGCTCAGAGTTATACCACTGCTTCCACTATATCAATGTAATTTCATATGCGATACAAACTTTTCCAGATACCATCATGCAGACGAGATGCATAAATAACTACTTTAGCTTTTGGTGTTTCAGAGAAATATATATGAAAGTTTGATTTTAAAAATTAGACTGCTTCATTTCTGCTCATGGTGGTTCTGTTGCTGGACAGGTCCTCTGTACAACTGACAAGATGAAGTGATGATCGAGTGTTACTCAAGGCTGATGCGTTTTTACCACAGACAGATTAACTTGTGCCACAATGTCTGGAAGAATAAGTCCAAATTGAAATTGTCTGACAGAAAATGAATGCAAACAAACAACAGAAAAGTGTCATCATTTCTGTAAGAGCAGCACAGTTGGCATATTAGGACACAATGACTCCTTATAGCCCTTTATAGTCCTGTTTTTTCTAACACAGCATAAGAGTTGATTATTTATTATTTTGGGCGTATAGTTTAATTTATTGCTGGTTTATTTACTTAATTTTTTTGTGATGCCAGTAAAATGATTTATAATCTACATACTGCTGACCAAAAGGTGACTTACTGTAAACCTATATAAAGGCCTAGCACCAATGTTCCCTAATTTTTCATGTGTCTGAGCGACACACAAACTCCCTGAGCGGTCCCTTGGACCACTGTGAGCAACAGCAGACGTGTGCACTGTGGTCACGCCAGCATCGAATCCATCTAACTTACATGGTTTATTAAAATAATCAAATTACAGCATTTACATCTATGTTAGACTACTTTTAATTAACTGCTTTAGTCCACTCAGAATGAAAATTAAAAAAAAAAAAATCTTGTTCATGACCTGTGTAGTATGTTAACACTATTGGAGGTAAAAATAACTTGAACTCCAATTTTGAAAACACAACTTTCTTTCTTTTTTTTTTTCTTTTATAAAGCTCTGACTTGTATTAAGAGTATGAGTCTGTGGTCTGGGAGAGAGTCCTGTAACTCTTTGTCTGCAAATTACAGTATACAGTGGCTTGCAAAAGTATTCGGCCCCCTTGAACTTTCCCACATTTTGTCACATCTCAAAACACCGCCGTCACTCCTAAAACTTCCCCCTTCCTAAACAACTAAATGCCATGTTGCCATATCATTTTTTGATTGGTCGACATGGTACATTTTTCCACCAATAGGAAAGGGTGGGGTTTTTTTGGTTTTGGTTTTGCTCACAGGCGGAGAGCGTTTTCCTTATAAAATACAGTTTTTACCGTTTCTTCC